TTTATAGAATCTATATTATATTTTTTTTAAAATAAATAATATTTTATTATTTTAATTTTTATTACTTTTTTTAATTAAAGTTTAAGATTTTATATTATTATTATTTAAATTAATTTTATTATCTAAAGGGTAATTTTTATAGATTATTTAATTAGTTTTTTAATTAAATTATATATTATAGTATATTAACTATAGGTATTTAAATATTAAATTATATTTTTAGGTAAAAATAATATTAAAGTTAATATTTTAATTTTTTTTATTAATAAATATTTTTAAGTAATTAATCTTTTAGGTAATATTTCTATTTTTATAAATATAAGTATTTCTTTTTTTACTTTATATTATATAGAGTTTCTTTTTATTTCTTTATAATAGCTTTAATTTATTAACTATTTTAAAGAGAATAAGGTTTATAATAGCTTTATTATTTATAAATATATAAAATTATTTACTTTTAATTTTAACTTTTAAGTTTAAATATATTTATTATTATTTATTAATTATAATTTATAAAGCTTTTATAAAAAATTTATTTTTTATTACTTTTTTATTTATTTAGTATTTTATTATAAATAGTAAGTTTCTTTTTTTTATAAGTAATTATAATTATATTTACTTTTATAGTAATTAATATTATTAAAGTAATTATATTATATAGCTAGTTTATATTAATATTTTATTTTCATTTTTTATATTAAATATTTTACTTTATTATTATATTATAGTATTTTATTTATTTAGCTTATTTTAAAAATTTTTTTTTTTTTTAGCCTATTTACTTTTATAATAGCTTTATAAATATTTTTATTTAGGTTTTCTTTTTTTTTATTTAATTTATTTTAAATATATTTTCTTTATTTTATAATTTACCTAAAGTTTTAAATATAATTTAAGGCTTATTTTTATATTTTAATATATATTATAAGTTTAATTATTTAAATCTCTTTATATTTTTTAGTAATTTAATATTTTAAGGTATTAATAATTAAATAGGGTTTTTATTTTTTATATTTTTTAATTTATATTAAAAAGTAATTATTTATCTCTTTACTTTATTAATATTATAAATAATAATATTATATATATAATATTTAAAATATTTACTAATAATTTAAGTATTTTAGGTCTTTTTAAAGGTCTTTTTTAATTTAAATCTCTTTTTTAGGTATTATTAAGTCTTTTATTTTATTTTTTATATATAATTAAATATAAATAGTATTATTTTATTTTATAATTACTTTTTTTTTTAATTAATTTTATATATTTAATTACCTTATTAAATTATATTTAGTTTTTAAATTTATTAAATTATAATATATATTTTATATTTTAAATAGTTTAATTTACTTTTTTTTTAATCTTTTTAGCTTTAAAGTCTTAAGTAACTTTTAAGGCTAATATATA